CCTAACTATGGCAATACCTAACATATCTAGGAAATCAATACCTAATATATGTAGGAATATATACCATATATACATTATCATCCTCCCCTCAAACTCAAGGAGGATAAACATCTTGAGTTTGGAGAGAGAAACTAAAACATGAAATAAAACTAAATAAAATAAAAGGCAAATAGATTGCAAAATTCGAACGGGAGCGCAAGGGTGCTTGAAATAGATTAGAGGCCAGAACTAAAGTCGGGAGATAGTTTATGGTCGTGTTGGACCATTGTAGGAACTGGTTGAAACTAATGCCAGGACAATTTAAGGTCGTGCCAGACCAATATAGAAATTGGTTGGAACTAATGTCGAGAGACAGTTTATGGTCATGTCGGACCATTGTAGGAACTGGCTGGAACTAATGCCAGGACAATTTAAGGTCGTGCCGGACTGATATAGAAATTGGCTGGAACTAATGTCGAGAGACAGTTTATGGTCGTGTCGGACCATTGCAGGAACTAACTTATGAGCTATGTGGATTGCGGCTTTGTTGTCATAGTATCGTCGCATGGAGTTATTCAGATGGATTCCCAAGTCTCCCAATAATAGTTTAATCCATAGTAACTCACTGACACCCTGAGCCATAGTCCTGAATTTTGCCTCAGCACTAGATCTAGCAACCACATTTTGTTTCTTACTTCGCTATGTGACTAGGTTGCCACCAACAAATGTGCAATATCCGGAAGTTGATCTTCTGTCAGTGACGGATCCAGCCCAATCTGCATTAGTAAATGCCTTCACACTGAGAGAGCCATGCTTTGAGAAATAAAGACCCTTTCCAGGAGAAGATTTCAGGTATCACAGGATTCTCATTACGGCCTCTAAGTGGGAAGTTCTTGGAGCATACATAAACTGACTCACCACACTCACGGCAATGGCAATGTTTGGACGTGAGTGGGATAAGTATATGAGCTTTCCCACTAGTCTTTGGTATCTCCCTCTGCCAACAGAATCTCCCTCTTGATCTTCACTCAGTTTTTGGCCTGGTTCTAGAGGTGTATCACACGTGCTACCTCCAAGTATTCCAGTTTCCTTTAGTAAGTTAAGTACATACTTCCTCTAGCATATGAAGATGCCATCCTTGGACCGAGTTCCTTCAATGCCCAAAAAATACTTCAAATAGCCTAAGTCTTTGATTTCAAACTCTTTGGCTAAGTATTCTTTCAAATGGGGAATCTCCTCAACATCATCTCCTGTCAGAACAATATCATCAACATAGACAATAAGAGTTATGGTCTTACCATGTGAGGAGTGTTTCACAAACAAGGTGTGATCAGCTTGATTTTGCTTGAACTCATATTTCAGCATAACTTGAGCAAACTTTTCGAACCAAGCCCTAGGAGACTGCTTTAGCCCATAAAGTGACTTTCGGAGCTTGTATACTTTACCGTTGGACTTAGCATCTGCAAAATCAGAAGGAATATCCATATCGACTTCTTCTGCTAGATCTCCATGAAGGAAGGCATTCTTCACATCAAACTGATGAAGTGGCCAATCCAAATTTGCAGCAAGAGAGAGTAAGATTCTCACGAAATTCATCTTAGCAACCGGTGCGAATGTCTCTTGGTAATCCACCCCATAAGTCTGAGTAAAGCCCTTAACAACCACTTTTTCTTTGTACAGTTCTATGGACCCATCTACTTTGTGTTTTACCGTGTACATCCACTTACAGCCAATTGGATTTTTTCCTCTAGGTAACTCCACTAACTCCCAAGGCCACTTTTACTGAGTGCTCTCATCCAAGGTTCTGAAAAGCGGTTGCGGTCGCCGTAACGGTGGCGGTGACGCGGTTGCGGTTGCGGGGTGTAAAGGCCGTAGTGTAACGGTTGCAGTAACCGGAACCGTGAATTTTTTTATTTTTCGCACAATTTGAAAAAAACTTACCGATACGCATATTTTTTTTCCATGATCATATTTATTGGGTTAAAAATAAATATTGATCAATTTTTGTAAATTTTTAAGTATGATGCAATATATTTCATATTTTTAAATCACTATAAACTGAGTTTTTTACATTTTATTTTAATAATTAATGACTTTATATTATACAAAAAATCAATCACTAACTATTATACATAAAATAAACAATGACAAAAGTAAGAGAATAATACATATTTTAACCAAGCCAAATAGATAATGACAATAGATAATGACCACACTTATTATTATTATTATTATTATTTTCAAACAATATATAGATAGACACACACAAACAAAATGGTTTAGTGATAGCAGCTGAATAGAATAGCACAGGTCTTACAGTTTCAACAAATTAATAACATGTTCTTCATCTTCCCTCTTCTCTCTCTCTATCTCTTGCTCCTCCATTTTCTCTCTCTCTTTATCTTCTCTCTTCTCTCTATCCCTCTTCCCTCATTTTTAGCTTTTTTTTTTGTGTGTTTTTTCGGAAGAAACAGTTTGGAACCGTTACGTAACGGTGCTGTAACAGCTGTAACGGCTTGTTACGACCGCTACGGCAGCCGCTGCGGCCGACACACCTGTGAATCTCAATCACACTGCAAAAGCGGCCGTAACGGGTGGCGGTAACCGCCAAAACCGTTACGTAACGGCGTTACGTAACGGTTGCGGCCGCTTTTTAAAACCTTGCTCTCATCTCTTCCATCATGGCATGCTTCCATTCAGGAATAGAGAGAGCATTCTGAAAATTGGTAGGTAGACTCACAGAAGACACTTTAGACAGAAAAACTTTATGTGACGAAGGCAAATTAGAATAAGAGACATGATTACTAACAGGATGCTGAGTACATGACCTAGTGCTCCCCATTTTGTGTTTTTAACTGGTCACAAATGGTTTGTTACCTTCATAGATGGTTGTTCCAGGGCTACTTAGGTCTATTTGATGAATGATAAAAGTGAAGTGTTTTCACTATTTCAAAACTTCCATAAAATGATTTATACTTAGTTTGGGGCGGTAGTACAAATTCTACGTTTTGATAATTTGGGGGGAGGGGGAATATATTGACTCTGGTCTTGCCATTTACTTCGCCACTCATGACATTATTCACTAGACTTCTTGCACTAATACCCCTCAGCAAAATGGTGTTGCTGAACGCAAAAATCGCTATCTCCTTGATGTCGCCCATTGTCTATTCTTTGAGATGCGGATTCCTCAATCCTATTGGGGGAAAGCGGTTCTCACTGTCACTTATTTGATTAATTATCTTCCTACCCAAGTCCTGCAAACACAAACACCTCTTCACGTTTTGTTCGGGTTTACGTCTTCCGGGTTCTCCATTTCTCCTAAGACTTTTGGCTGTGTTTGCTTTGTCCATAATCATTCACCTACTTGTGGTAAATTAGATACTAGGTCCTTTAAGTGTGTTTTTCTGGGTTATTTTGCCACCAAAAAAGGTTATAATTATTATCATCCTCTTATTCGCAAATAGTTTGTTTCTATGGATGTCACTTTCTTTGAGTCTCAGCCTTACTTTCCGACCTCCCCCGGTCTCACAGTCATCCCTTCAGGGGGAGCCTTGGTGTGAAGAGATTCCTGTTCCATTTCTGCCTGTGGTTGACCAGATAGAGGATGATGAGCCAGCAGTTGTTGAGGAAAAGGAAGCAGGCAAAGTTTATATCTGGGATAAGGACAGACAGCGAGTAACTTGGATGCAAGAGACTACTTTCCTTTCTCTACTGCTAACTTCTTTTCTGGATGAGTGTCCAGAGTCAACCCTTTCTCCTGAGAGTCCAGGTAATTCTGATTCTAGTGCTCCTATCCTTGATTTATCAGATCTTGATGTTCCCATTGCTAATAGGACGGGGGTTAGGTCATGTCGGACCGATGTAGGAGCTAACCAGAATCATTGTCGGGACAGTTTATGGGGTCATGCCAGACGGTTGTAGAGACTGGATGTTGAACCAGCAAGCATGACACACACATAAGTTATGACGTGGTGCTAAACGATGATGGCAACAGATGACTGTGTGCGCCAGAAGGCGGCTTAGATGGTGTGCCAGGAGGCGAGTTTGGTGGTGCGCCAAGAGAGGGTAGCTTGGATTGTGCGTCAGAGAAAGCAGCTTAGATTGTGCACCAGAGTGGAGCGGCTTGGGTTGTGTGCCAGAGAGTGCGGCTTGGATTGTGCGCCAAAGGAGGCGGTTTGGGTGGTGGGCCACAAAGGGCGGCTTAAGTTGTGTGCCATAGGAGATGGCTTAGGTGGTTTGCATGGTGTATAACCATGTTCACCATGATATAGGTATAATACCCCCCTCAAACTCAATTAGGTTTAAAGATAGAAACCAATTTGAGGTTGAAGCAGAGAGAAAGTTAAAGTGGAGAAACAAAAAAATGTATTGCAAGTAAAAAACTAAATATATATATATATATATATATATGATAGAGATATTTGGAGTAGAAATAAACCAACGAACAAAGGAAGAGATCACCACGAAACAATATTGACAAGAAAAATATGACAGCCGAATAGGTTGAGATCCGACGGGCGGCCAAAGAAAGGCTGCCGCCCGCCGGTAAAGCGAAAAACACCAAGAGCTTAACCTATAGCTCTGATACCATGTTAGAATAGTAGAGAGAGAGAGAAAATAATATATATTGTATTGAATGAATTGTGTTAAATACAATAGAAGACCTGTATATATAGGTTGAGAAAGAGTATCATACTAGAAATCTAATTATGAGAAAGAATATCCTATAAGAGACCTAACTATGGCAATACCTAATATATCTAGGAAATCAATACCTAATATATGTAAGAATATATACCATATACATTACAGATATTATGTTACGTACACAAGCTATAGTGGTTGTTTATGCATCTTAACCCAATGTTGCGATATCCCTTTTTTGATTGATTGTTTTATTTCAGAATCAGTAATTTTAATTAAAAAAAAATTTATTCAGTTTTCTGATAATTGTAAATATTGTTACCCTCCTAGTGATGTCATTCATGGTTCCCACGTAATTTTTGGTTATATGGTTTTAGGGGAAAGGAAGAGCATTTTCTGCTGGTGGTGATGTTGCTGCCGTAGTCCGGGATATTAAAGGTAGAGGTTCATTTTTTTTTTTCTATTTTATTTTGTCAATAGACATGTAGATACATGCGTCTAAAATAGCGAGCATCTTTAGTCATAATGGATGTGTAGTCTTTTACCTTTCCCTTTTAACCATTTCATTTTTCTCTCTGAGTTTTAATAGACTTTTCAGCCATTTCCTTTTAGGTGGATGCTGGAATGGAAAACATGGACTACCTTCATCTTAAAGTATATAGGGGGTGTTTGGCACGTTGGATTTTAGCCTTCTTTTGGCTAAAATCCACAAACAAACAAAATAGGCTAAAATAGTTAATAAGACAAAATGCCACATCAAATTTATAATCATTTCACTTTTTCTCTCACAAGCATCACATCCAACTAAAAAAAAATCCAACTATCTTCCCAAATACAAATTTTAGCCTACTAAAATAGCCTACTAAAATAGCAACTTCCCAAACACTCACATTATAGCATTATTGATGCCACCCTGTTGCTTGTTTTTGTGCATCAGGTAATTGGAAATTAGGTGCAAAATTTTTCCAGAAAGAATTCATCTTGAACTATGTGATGGCTACATACAGTAAACCCCAGGTGGTTCATTTGGGAAATTGGGTGTATCTTTGATGATCAATTTTGTTTATTTATTTACTTTCATTGAAGGCCTTCTTTGACAAGTTATTTTCAGCAATTTTTATGAGGTGTTCACACAAACTTATTGTTGGCTTGAAATAATTGAAGGTTTCAATTCTTAATGGAATTGTCATGGGAGGTGGAGCAGGAGCTTCAATACATGGTAGATTTCGAGTTGCAACAGAGAATTCGGTATCCATCTTTCTCATTATCTCAGTTCTGAAATGTCATGTCATTTTATTTAGATCTTCATAGTTCAAATTGCAACTTCCTCTGACCTTGAGATCATTACACACCCGTTTGGTTTCTGATTTTACCCTATTCTTGATATTTAGAAAATATGTAGTCATGTTATCCAATGGTCTACGCTTCTTGTCCCTCCTTTTATGTTGAATATTTCTCAAAGCTCACAGGTTCTTTGAATTATTCTAACCAGAATCATCCAATAAATTCTTTGTGCACTATTGCAATATGCTTTTCTCTATCCTGTTGGGGCACAAAAATCATCGGCTTTATGATTACCGTCAATAAAGCATGGAGAATGGATCACAATGTAGCAGTATTTTTGTTTAGTTTTCTGTATAAGATTACAGCACATGTTACTGAAGGAAAGCTTGAATATAAATGACCATTCATTCTGTGTCTCTATTGATTTTCCTAAAGAGAAGAAAAACGTTGTTGATTTAACTTTAAAAATGGGGTGCTGGGTGTTACATTGTCTTGGGTAGAACTCAATCCCGAAAGCTAGCTATTGAGGTGTGGGTGGTCTCATGCTTATATACTGCACATTACTCTTGTGCACAAACAATGTTCCAGTTTTATGTATTGCTTCATTGATAACCAATCCAATAAATAAAATGCATTTTTATCATAGAGGGGTGCCATAAAATAAGCTTCTGAGAGCTGTTCGATTTATTTATTTATTTTTTAGTCTTTGGAATGTTTTTTTTTTTGTTCCTCCAATCTTTTATTTTCTTTCCTTTATTTTTGTTTCTGCTGTGGTATGTGAATGTTTAAGGTGTTTTAAAGGCTGAGATCCTGAGACTTTGTATTTATCTTCTTGACACTAAAACTGAATTTATCTATCTGATTGTGAAGTTCATTGCAATGTTTTCTTTACTTTACAATGTCATCTATATTCAACTATACTTTATCATGCTTTAGGCATGAGCTTCGCCTAGTGGGACTTAGAATTTACTATTAGTTCTGCCTCTTCTGGCGTTTATTGAATATTGCTTTTATTTACCAAAAAGAACTATGAGAATTTCTTAATGATAATCTATTGTACTTTGTGCTTGCTGCTTGTAAATAACAAACTCAATATCGTGCAATCAGTTTTTCTTGTCCATTCTTGAAGTTACAAGTTAGTTGCGGTTCTTTGTTAGGTAAGCATATCCTTGTATTTTTTTCCCCCCCAGGTGTTTGCGATGCCAGAAACAGCTTTGGGACTCTTCCCAGATGTAGGTGCCTCGTATTTTTTATCAAGACTTCCTGGATTCTTTGGTAATGCCTGATATGTTACTTACCTTGTTTATGTAGGAATGTCCTCGTATATCATCCTAAAATAGTTTTTCAATATGTATGTAATTCTGTCACATTTCCTTTCTTTACTATTGTGGCAAGATGGAGGTCATGAATTGGGAATTTGGACATATAATTTATTTTATCAAAGGCGAGCTTTATTGTAATTCGAAGTATTATGAGTTTGACGCTTAAATCCACACGTTTCCTGTTTTAAGCTCTTAGGGTCTCTCTGTTTGGGATTATTTTGAATTAATTCTACTTTTCTTCTTTTCCAAAAATTTGATAATAATTCTTGGAATATAGACTCTCTCTCTCTCTCTCTCTCTCTCTCTCTCTCTCTGTGTAGCGCACTTTAACAGCATGATGCATTGGTAAAAAAAATTAGAAAAGCAGGAAACTGTTGCACAAATGGCTTGGCCTCTGAACCCTTTGATTAATTGATGCTTTTTGCTTCTGGCTTTTTATTTTATTTATTAGTTTAAAAAAAGTTGCATCAAACAGGCCCTTTAAGCTGATGCCTCCATCACTTGTGAATTTTTGGCTCTGGCAAATTGGCAATAATATTTGATTCTTTGGTGGCACAAATTCTTCACCTATCCATTCAAGCTGTGTTATGGTTCCAAAAGCTTCATTCTGATATCAAATTCTATAAGAAGAATCAAAGTTAATTTGAATTTTCATTGATGTCATAAAAGAATACATCGAGTGTTCTTCCTTTCTTAAAAAAATATTTGTTAATGATAGACCAATATATAGAAGTAGTACATATTAAAGTTTGGTCCTTGAAATGGTGGTCTTGTTTCTGTGCCTCTGTGGGGATCTTCTGAAAAGTTTCTAACTTGAAAAGTTGCATTTATCAAAAAAAAAAAAAAAAAAAATCTATGAGAAGTTGCATGTGTGATTTTAATATCAGTGAAGTCCAAAAATATTTGGGATATCTAGTGTGAATCATGACCAGGGTGTATTAGATTAGCGATATGGATTTGCATGTATTTGTTCTGGTGGTTGTTTCAAGAGGTTTGAATGTTATCTAGGAATGAGGTGTTTAGGTATCTATTTCATAACCATCTCTTTTCATGCGTGTAACCTTGGGGAAAGGGATACGTGGTCTTTGATATATGTTGAATGTTTTGAACCAATGTATCTGCCAATATCTGCATGTTACCCATGTTCCAAATGAAAGTTGCTTTTTACTTTGTTTTGGTTCCTCTCTCTGTCTCTCTGTCATGTATGTGGCTGTGTTGTAGCGTGCACAAGCTGTAGAGCTGTGTTCTAAAAAGTGAAATTTTGGGAATGGGTGGAGGATCAGTGGAAGTCATTCTATTTATAATAGAAAGAGGCTAAAATTGTAATGTTTGTTAGAAGGACTAGCAGTTTCTATTTTGTGGATTTAGCTGTCAAATTAAATGCTAAGTAATCCCTACATCCCATGTGCTGAAAACCTGGTAGTTACAAAAATGTCCTTTACTTTTTTACTCAAAGAAAACTCAACAAAACAGCAGCATAATTATGCAAGGGAAACAAAAAATAAGACCAAACTAAAGTGAAAAATTAACTAAGCAAGGTTTGAAGAAGGTTTGGTTTCAATTTTTAACATTTCTCTTTTTTAAATATACTCTCTCTTGAGCCTCTTATGGATTGCATTACCTTTAGTACCTGTAGATATTAGATGTCATTTATGCTGTAACATTAACTTTTTTTTTTTTGCCATCTGCTCCCAGGAGAATATGTCGGTCTCACAGGTTCTAGGTTGGATGGTGCTGAAATGCTTGCATGCGGTCTTGCTACTCATTTTGTTTCTTCAGTGGTATACTTCCTTTGCAGTTTGTAAATTCTAACAAACAGTATACATAGAACAAATTATAGTGCATGTACGGCTAGCGAGGGCAGACATCCAAAATAGGTGTTGTGTTCGTGTCCAACACATGTTGGATATTGACACTTTGTGGACGTGCTTTCGTGGACACGCCATGTGGTGTGTTAATTTTTTTGCAGTGCATGTTGGAGACACTTCATGGACATGCATTTCCTGTGTTTGGACATGCCTTTGGGCACCTTTGTGGGTTCTTTTATAATTTTAGAAAGCTGATTTGGGATCAAAGTAAAATATATGAAAACAAAGCGGGAAAAATTGGAAAATAAATAAATAAATAATCCCACCCACATATACATCGATGCCTCTCATATCTCTGTACCCTAAATTTATATTCACAGAAAAAACAAATAAAAATATATATATATTTTTATCTCCGTCATGTCCGTATCCTAATTTTTTGAAAATTGCTTGTGTTGTTTGGTTGGGTTTTCATTTTGTCTTTTTTTTTTTTCATTTTTTTCTGGAAATTATAAAAAATTTGTTTTTGTTTTTGTTTTCTTGTTTTGGGAAACAAAGTGGGGTTTTCCAGAAAACTTTCCCCAAAACAGATTTTGGAAACAAAAATAGAAAAAGATGAATTGCCAACTTGACCACCTTACTTTCAATTTTCTGACTTGTTTTCAAATGTTCTTTGAATTAAATAAATAACTTCAGGCCTTTTTGTTATATGTTCTTTATGGGGACAATATAGTATGAAGGTCTAAATGTCAGCTTCCATTCAAAGGGATGCACAGTTTTTTGAGATAGTAGCAAGGGTCATTTATTTAATTTTAATTGATTCTATAGCTTATGGAACATTCAAGGTTCTTTCTACAACTTTAGCTAATACTGAGTGTGCTCAATTAAACAATTTATGTAGTTCATTGAAGTCAAACCATGCTAATACTCATCCAACTGTACTTAGAAATTTGATATGCCTGTTGTTCTAACAATGTTCTTCTTCATTATATTTACCTCTCATAGTAATAATCCATTAGTTTTATCCATAAAAAACAAACAGAAAAAGTATATTGTTTTTGTACCTATATATATATATTTTTTATCATTGCATGGCTAAGAAGCATAGACAGTTCTAAGAAGGTAACGCGTGAACATGACACTCGTTGGACACTTCCTAACACTTGGACACTTGGACACATTACAAGTTTGAATAACATCATGGAATCCAATGATAAAACAAAAATAATGTAAATTTATACCTATTCTTTAAAAATTATTATATTTGACTTAAATATTCATATATATGATGTAATAATTATTTATCCATAAATATAATATTAATAAATATATAAATTATATAGTTTGCATGTGTCCATTTGTCGTGTCCTACACTTTTTGAAATTTTACGTGACGGATGTTAGTGTTGTGTCCATGCTTCTTAGCTGCATGACATATGAAGAGGCAAGGCACTCTTCTTGTTGGTGCTACTTTTCTAATCTGGCAACACCTCTTTGCTATAGGTGTAGAATATTGTCTCTCATTTTTATTTTATAGTGTACTAATAGGAGGATTCTAATTCCTCTCTTACGTGCCTTCACCAATGAACAGAGATTGTCTTTGTTAGAAGAAGCCCTATGCAAGGTAAATTCAAGCGATCCAGACATCATTTCTGCAACTATTCATGAATTCTCTCAGCAACCTAGTTTGAAAGAGAAGAGTTCCTACAACCGGTAAGATTTTTGTACATTTAGTTCTTTATTTTTCGTTTACCTATGTGTTTGTGGGGTTTGTTTTACTTAGATTATTGGTGGGGATTGTTGTGTGTGACCTTTCATCTATCCTGCAAGGTTTTGTCAACTATAGTATACATTCACCATGGTTCTTGGAAATTTATGAGATTTAAAGTGGTTTTTGAAATAAATGATTCAGTTTTCTTGGTAAAACGACATGTATTTTACAGTTGTCTATGGGATGCATAGCTGGTTGTGGCCATGGTGGTAGTTGGTGGTTGTCAATCCACCCATCGATATGGTTAACATTGCAAAAGTGCAATTTATTTGTTCATGTTTTTGCATCTGCTTGTCCTTCTCACTGATATACTTACTATTAAGAATTTTGTGAGGATTGTTTTTCCAGTTGCGAAACCTAAAATAAAACTGAATCCTTGAAAATATCTCAAAATCATTGTTTTCAGATATTGAATAGACAGCCTTGTCAAGTGGAAGAGAGAAAACTTCATGAATTATGATCTTCTGTTGAAAACCATATCATGTGTCACAATTACAACCATTGAGTACTAATGCAACTCATTTGGGATCCATTGCATTAATGGTTGTGATTGTGACACATGATATTATACCAAATGTGGTATAAAAGATTTTAAGTGCTACATTATTGTTATTAGTTTGGTCTGTTCTTTATTTGATATATTAGTCGCAATCACAAGTGATGGTCGCATTAGTCTTTTTTCTTAATGTTTCACATCACAAACGTCTATAGTAATCCTTGCTGTTTAATTATCCATTACCTTCATTGATTTCCTAAATACTATTATGATTAAACCTGTGTTAAACATCCATTGCATGCCCAAAAGTTTAATATGCTCTATAGTTTAAAGAACTTCATTATGACTCTTAGGATGTAAACCACCAAACCTGGCTTTGTCTGCGCTCCTCATTTTCAGTACTTATGTGGCTACAGATTGGATATCATTAACAAGTGCTTCTCTCGAAGAACGGTTGAAGAAATTATATTTGCACTTGTAAGTTGATGAGATGGGATCAGTTCCATGTGGAAACATGATTTGATAACCATTTTTAGGAAGACCCTATGGTGTGTACCCCCTAGGGTTCATACCATATGCACCCTACCACAAATTGGCGTAACTTTACTACAAAATTTCGTAACATCAATCACAAAATATGTAACCTCGCCACAAATTAGTGTGACAAAATGTTCAAAATTTTGCGATTGATGTAACAAAAGTTTGTGACTTGGTTACGACATAGGCTTTCCATTTCTATTAGTAATTGCTTTATTTACCATTTCTTTTTACGCAGATGTAATTATAAGAGCCAAATCTTGTGTTTGGTATTGCAGGAGAGGGAAGCTGTAAACAGCACAGACAATTGGATCTCTTCAACAATTAAGTCACTGAAGACAGCATCCCCAACAAGTCTTAAAATCTCTCTCAGATCAGTATGGATCATCATGCCTTTGTTAACCCTTGCCTTGACACATATATTTTTTTCTGAAGTTAATCATGAAACTATTGACTGAATACTTTCAGAAGAATTGGTAACATGGTACTCTGAAATTAATCCACTTATTGAGGGGTTGAAGAGGAGTAAGTTGTTCTCCACATATCATATGTTGTATTACATTGACTGTCCTGACTCCTTCTAAGGGAAGCATTCCCGCTGTCCACAAATTCACAATATATATATATATATATATGGAGAGAGAGAGAGAGAGATGGCTCACACAACTCACCAGTCACTACAGAGTGCCCTTATACACTACACTACATAGCTCACTATCTGTAAACACCACACCTCCACATATTAAGAAGAACAACCACAGCCACAATCAATGCAAACAAAACAAAATCATAAAAACTGAGAAAATAATCTCTTATTGTGATTGTCACAGCTAGATCTTAAGATTTAACCAACCGGCACCCATATGCCATGAAGAATAACAACTGTGTAAGCCAAAACCGAGCTTAGATCTAAGATTATAAAGAAAATGAGAGGAAAATGGGAACTCATCGCGTTTTGAAGGAGATGTATGGTTTAACGAAGAAAATATTAGCCAAATCGACTGATATGACATATGAAATCGTATCGGCAGTATCAGCCAGTACTTGTGATTTTATTTCTTTCTGATACAACCATTGCCTCTGAATCGATAGACCAAAATTTTGTTACATACCAGCCGATATAATAACTAACGGCCGATATTTTGAACCCTGCTCACTTTTTTGTCCATTTCTGCTATTTAATAAAATATGATTACTGAATTTACGTGCCTGTGGAATGCATTGCCATATCAATTACACATGTTTCCCAAAGGTAGGGTTTTGAATCAATGTGGATGCTTTCTATATTTACCTAGACTGTTGCATGGTGTAATAATTATTTTTTGTATTTTGAATTAAGTCTAACTAATGGTTGAGTGTGACTTCAACTCCTCAACTCTTTATTCAAAACAGTGTTTCACATAGACATTGTGCTAATCACAATGTGTAGCCCTCCTAACCACCGAAAAAAATAATAATAAATAAAAACCAAAAACTCTCCAGTATTGCTATTAGTAGCACACAAGATATGCATTATTTTGCCACTCAGATTCTATGATGCTTTATTCCATAATTATGCATGTTAATAAACAATAATTTAACTTTAAGAAAATGAAGAATCAGAAGCTTAAAAATCTATTAAATGCACTTTAACACTAATTGTGTTTGGAAAGAGGAAGGGGAACAAACATTACAAGAAAGGAGATTTTCTACTGCTTGTGGACATCTACAAAAGGCTGAAACTAGAAATTCTGTTCCCTCTTTCAATATAGACAAAAATGTAGAAATTGTATGATGAAAGGCTTGTTCAAAGGTTTATAGACAAAAACTTTCTTCTGTAAATGCAATTCAGATACGAGAAGGGAGGGTCCAAGGTGTGGGTCAATGCCTTGTTCGTGAGTACAGAATAGTTTGTAACATCATGGATGGACAAGTCAGCAAGGATTTCTTTGAGGTAATAGTTAAACTCATACTTTGCCCCTATCTATATTCTAAGTGATTCTCTAAATGCAGTTGTGCAGCATACCCTCAATTTAAACCAGATTTGGAAAATGTGGACAAGATTCATTTTGCATATGGCAGCCACAACACCCTACACTTCATTTTGATGATAAAATTCTTGGTAAATTTTCATGTTACCTAGATTTTTTTTTTCTTTTCTAAATGCCAAATTCAAATGCAGGGTTGCAGGGCTATACTGTTGGATAAAGATAAGAACCCAAAGGTTGATTGAAATTCTGTTTCTTTATATCTCAACACATTATATATTATTCCTCCATGAGTACGGAATCATTGTGTAGTTTCTTCTGCAACCGAAAATTCACTTGTATTTTCATGCTTCTTTTTTTTTCTTTCAGTGGGAACCTTCTAAATTGGTGCTAGTGAGTGATGAAATGGTTGATCGTTACTTCTCTAAGGTGGATGACAAAGATTGGGAGGATCTAAAGCTCCCTGTGAGATCAAACTTGCCTGGACATGCCATCGCAAAGCTGTAAGCAACATTCTAAACTGAGTTGGAATTTGCAAAATCACAACTTTAGAATGTTAAATCTTTTCTTTTGGGATACCTCATATCATGATATCATTTACTGGGATAGTTGATCTGCAAGATGTTCATATTCCCATATGGTATGGGGATGAGTATTTAGATGTACTAAATTTGTAGAATAAATTGATACCAAATAAAGTAGCATCATGCCCAATGCATTACAGTGGAAATTTTATTGTCTCTTTGTTCATGTGTATGCACAATGCTGCTGGAACTAATAGGTGCTAGGAAGCACGAACACAGATACGAGATACAGGTACGATATGATACGGATACGGCGATATGACAAAATTTGAAAAATTAGGATATGGGTACGGCGAGGATACATTCGTAAAAAATATTATTTTTATAATTTATAAATAACTTTTCAAATATTTTTTTGATTTTTAAAAATAAAAAATAAAATTAATTTGGTTTGATTTTTAAAAATAAAAAATGTAATTAATTTGGTTCCATTTGACTTTACTCTTAAAAATATAAAATATGAATAGTTTGGTTTGATTTAACTTTTAAAAATATTAAAAATGATAAAATTAACATTGAATAATCAAATATCAAATTTTATAAAATTATAATAATAATAAAATTAATAAATACAATATAATTTTTTTATTCGTGTAGAGTATTTTAATATTATAATATTATGTATATGATATTATGATAGAAAGAAGAATAAAGGTTGAGACCCCCTTGACCCCCTTTAGTTTTGATTGGTCAACTTTTTTTTTTTTTCTTCTCACCCAATCCCCAACCTCCATGTGTGTGAGGGGTTGTGGGGGTGGGTGTTTTAAGGGGGTCTAAATCAATGCCCTAGAAAGAAACAGAAGGTGAATGTATTATTAACACCAAGGATCCTCTAGAGTTTTTTTTTTTCTAAAATTTCCTAAAGTGGTGTGTTGTATGGATGAGATTTAATGCTAAAAAATTGATGTGACTTGTCATTAAATTTCAACCATATAACATACCACTCTAGAAAACTTTAGGGAAAAAAAAACTCTAGAGGATCCTTACTCATCTGCTGGGTAAAGAAAAGAAAACAAAGCAAGAGAGAGAGAGGGAGAGAGAGGGAGAGAGAAAACAAGGGAGACAAGAGAGAGGAAAAAGAAGGCGAAGACGAGAGATCAAGTTAGATCGTTGTTGAGCAATTTGCTTTCAATTTTCAATTCAGAGATATGTGGTTCAAAATTCACCCTTTCTTGGGTTCAGATATGTGGTTCTAAACGCTTGCGATTCGCTTCCGATCTTCGATACGAAACCTTCCTGTTAATGTCTTGAGTTCAAATCTATTAATTTCTCTTTTGTTCTCTCATTACAAGTTTTTAAAATTATTTTTTTGCCTTGCCGTATTCCGAAAGTATCCCAAGTGTATCTTTAAAGTATCTCCGCGTATCCCAAACGTATTTGAAATTCAAATTTTTAAAGAAAAATTAGAATACTTCTTTACCGTATCTGATACGTATCTCGGTGTATTGGACGCATATCTGTATCCGATATGTATTCGATATGCGTAGGGGGGCCATTTTGGGCCTCGTTTGGGAACAGGTTTTTTTAGTAACTTTTTGGCTTTTAGGCTAAAATGTGATGTAAAAAAAACTAGTATGTTTGGAATGATTTTTTGATTTTTTACGAAAAGATATGCAAAAAGTAGAGAGAAAATGGAATCTTTGACTTTTTTGTATAGATTGTTGGCTTTTTAGTTTTTTTTAATGACTTTTTGACTAAAAAAGTCATTTGCCAAACGAGGTCAGAGTATCCGTGCTTCATAGAGTAGGTGCTAGTAATGTAGATCCATGGTGCTAATGATTGAATAATTATTTTGTGCTTCTAGATTACTGTATAAGTTTTGTTTCCCGATCAACATAGGGCGTTTGGTGTAGTTTATATGAGTTATTTATGGGGGTGTTTGGCAAAGGCTTTTTTGACTTTTTGGGCCAAAATTCACAAAAAAACAAAATAGACTAAAATAGCTAATAAGAGAAAATGTCACGTTAAACCTATAATCATTTCATTTTTTCTCTCACAAACATCACATTTAACTATGAAAAAATTCAACTATCTTTCTAAACACAAAAATTTTATCCTACTAAAATAGTCAAAAACTAAAATAGCAACTTCCTAAACACCCACTATATATATATATATATATTATATTTTGGGAGTTTATGCATATTTGGTAGCTTATAGATTATTAGGCAAAAATAGCTTAAATTAACTAATTATCTAGAAGTTACGAGAAGAGTGCTTTTACCTTTTACTTTCTGATTATCAGCTTTTAACTTACAACAAGTTACATCAAACAGGCTGAAAGTCATGCCGCATTCCTACTTTGTTGGAACCTACTTCCTCAAGAAAGTGAAAAGATGGGATCTTAAATATTAGTTTTACTGATATGGATTGGCCAGGACCCTTCTTTCAGTCAGTTTCTCCTATATAGGGGTGTAAACTCGGCCTGACTTGACCGACCTGGGCTCGGGCTCTGGCGGACCCATGTCGGGCTGTGCAAGCTCTCGTTAAATTTTAGGCTAGGTTAGGTTGGCCCATGTGCTAGAAAACCTAGCCCAACCCCAGAGGGTATTTGGGCCTCAAGTGGGCGGGCTAGCGGGCCGGGCCTGGCCATGGGCTCGGGCTTGACCATTTTTTAAAATTTTTTTCACCAAAATTTTATTTTTTTGGGCCAAAAATGACATTGGGACTTGGGCTGGCCGTATTGTAAAATAGATGGCTTAGGCCCAAGTCTAGGGTCCCGAGCTGGGCTGGGACCGTGAGCGAGCTTCCGTCGGTCCACAGGCCCGCAGGCCAATTTTACATCCCTATATATATACATATATATGGAGAGAGAGAGAGAGAGAGAGAGAGATGGTGGCAAATGCCTAAAGGCTAGTTAGCATCAGTTCATACATGTGATATATGTGGTTTCATATAGTTATTAGGTTAGTTTATATATGTGTGGGTGTTTGGAAAGTTGATTTTTTTGTAGGTTTTTTTAGTTGTAGGATATTATTAGAGATTTTTTTTTTTTTTTATGTTTGGAAAAATAGTTAGGTTTTTTTGTGGTTGGATGTAGGGGTGTGCGCGGTGCGGGTCGGTACGGTTTGAGAGAAAAATAGAAACTGTATGGCGGGGGGCGGATTGATAAAAGTGTCACTAGAATTTGCCATTTTCCTTATCAAAAACCGGCGGTTCGGTTGGCAAATAATGGCAGATTTGCCTTGGCGGTTCGGACGGATTGGCGGTTTATAAAAAATATAATTCAAATTACAAAACTTAAATCAAAGAGCAAAAAAAAGACGAGAAATATCGTGATGTTAAGCATCTTGCGAAGCTTTCTTCTGATGCAGTAAGTGTAGCAACAACATGATAATATCAACGACTATGCCATCAGTTCATTACAAGCATCTGTGGAAGCTACAATGATCAAATACAATACATAAAATTCCCCTCGAGCAGTAATGTAATACTATATTTTAAGGTATAGAACAACAAGCAAACTTAAGTAAAAAAGAATTTTTAGAATCCTATAAAACATGATTTAATAGCGGTGCGGGTCGGTGCGGTTTGGAAGAAAAATAGAAACCGGCGGATTGATAAAAATGTCACTAGAATTTGCCATTTTTCTTACAAAAAACCGGCGGTTTGATTGACAAATAATAATGAATTTGCCTTAGCGGTGCGGTTCGGTGCGATTTTGACGGTTTCGGCGGTTTCGGCGGTATTATGCACACCCCTAGTTGGATGTGATGTTTGTGAGAGGAAAAGTGAAATGATTATGGGGTTTGATGTGATATTTTGTTTGGATTTATTTTTTTTGATTTTGTAACCAATTTGTCTTTTAGTGAAAAAAAAATCAAAAAATTTCCTTCCCAAACACCGCTTGTATTTGGATTAAGATGGTAAAGTCTAGAATCTATTGAAAGCTTAATATATGTAAGATTTGGTTACTTAATTGTAAAATTAGATTTTTATGGATATACTATTATAAATAGCCATGAGGGTGTTTGCACTCCTCAAAAATTTCTATTGTCACTCAAGAAGTCCTGCGAGTGTGAACACAAAAGTTGGTTGATTAAATGCGGGCGTGCTAGAACTTGTGAACCTAGTTGTGTAGGATTTGTTGAAAATTTATGACTTCTAATATAGAGATATGACTTTGTGTTGCTAAAAGAAATTGTCATTGGTTCGAATCTTATCCCAATAAAAGGGACTTTTAACAAATTTATAGATGCCAAAGATAAATTAGACTAAAATTCTGACTTGCATTGATTGAGAATGAAGTACAAGTGATAATCTAAGATAATTAAGTTATGAAACTAGAGGAACTAAGCTATGAAGCTATGATAAAGAAGCTATGAAGTTAAGCTAAGATAATTAAGCTATGAAGCTAAGATAAATTGAAAGACTCGTGGTCGAGTTGATTGGTGTTGGACCTTTTCAAATGTTGCTATTGGAGCCCTTTATATAGTGTTGAGAAAACCCTTAATTTTGCTCAACTGCTAGAAACGTGGCAGTCCTTCCTGGTGACATCTGTTCTTGATCCTTAACTTAATCTCCCAAGACTAGGAAACGGTTTTGACCTCCAACGGCTAAGGCCAATCCTTGTAGCTTTGACTTGGTCCACCAAGCTCTAGAAAGTTGTCACGTGCCGCAAGAATCAAGTTTGAATTTATTCCGTATGATTTATGTAATTGAGGCTCACTTATGTTGATCCTCCAAGCATCTTCTTTTGTTGTGCGTGCTTATCCTTAAGAAATTCAAAAACCCAATCTTGCTTTATTTGGGAAAATAATTGTTTGGTTGTAACAGTTTGTTGATCCTTTGTATCTTCGCTAATTGTCACATGTCTATCAAAAACTCGCTTGCCTTGAATTTGGAAAAAATGATTCCACTATTGTAACCTTCTTGTTGGCATGTAAGATCTTCAAATCTTGTGTAAGCGTCATCATTTGTAATCTCTTTAACAAACCAACTAAACGATAAGGCACTAAAATAGAAGATAAGGCCTCGACATCCCCCTCAATTTGTAATCTCTTTAACAAACCAACTAAACGATAAGGCACTAAAATAGAAGATAAGGCCTCGACATCCCCCTCAATCTTTGGAACAGTTAAGACATATCCTATCAAATCCGAACAAATCTAAATTAACTAACTATTTAACCTAATTTAATCAGTTAAAATAAACTAATTC